GTTGGCCCAGGGCAATGCGTTTATGCGGGCAGAAATTAACAGCCAGGCAAAACAATTAGTGGCACCACAAACAGCAACAACAATAACACTCATCTTATCATTTATCTTAGCTGCTCTGGCTATTTATTTGGAATGTGCCGCAAGTGCCGCGAAAATTAACGCAAAAATTTGGACGCTATAATTGAGGCTCGGCTTTTTGGCCATAAACTTAGAAATGCCAAACTGAAACTGGGAGTCCAATGGATATCTCAAGAGTTTTGTGGCGCTTCAAAAAGAAACGTAGTTGTTGAAAAAGCCATGGTTCGATTTATACAAATGATATATATATCTGATGTTAAATCTGTGTTATTTTTATCTGAATTTATATATGCATTTCTATTTAGACGATCGCTAAAATTGTTGAACAAATGAATGTGTAATAATTGGAACTAAATCTGACTCGCATTTCTTTCTAGATAGAACTGAAAACTGAACTGCAAACTTCAAATTCAAATAAATAATTGTTAAAGATGTTTTACTTTCAAATCGAAAACTACAAAAGTTCCTCTCAAAATTCGAATAATTTAAGTATAGCATAAATAAATAAAATTCTCTGTAATATTGATTATAAATAAATTTCAGTTTCTATAAATGTATAAATAAAAATACAAATAAAATTGCCTATTGCACAATGACCAATAAATTATCTGTTCTTTTTAGAAGGGAAATTCAAACACATTTTTATGGTCAGTTTGTTCTCAATGGGTTTGGTTTGAAAGGCATACAAAATTCGGTGCTTCCAGTTTGTTAAGCTTTTGGGGGAAGCGCCACCTGTGGGGCATGCATCCGTATGCCATTGCTTTCATATCTCCGACACACATCTGAATCTCGACTAGACCTTAGATGAATGCTATGCGTTATATGCACTTTGGGTTGCAATGGATAGCCGGAATGGGATTGAATCGGATTGTCGGATTATGTCACATCCGGTGGCGAGTCTAAGACGGATGCTTCCACGCTAACTTTGAGTGGCTGGCCATTAAGATCGAGTGGACGCACTTGAGGCCAAGAAGAACAGTGGCTGCCATTGATGCCTGATGACTTGAGTGAGTTGTGTATGCGGCTCCATTAGCGCCACTCGAGGCAGACTTATATGTTATAGGTGTATGGTGCGGATGCAGTGCGATGAGAGATGCTCTCGTCTCTGATTTCCAAATGCGAATTACAGACACATGAACGTGGGCAGGGAAACCGGGGGATGGGGGATGCTCTATAACAAGCATCATATTTTTGGCGACGACATCGATGTCTTCCTATACTCGAGAAATGCTTTTCAGTTGCCCATTGCTGATGTTGTTGTTGCTGTTGCTGTTGTTGCTCTTGTTGCTGCTGTCGACGGGGCCAGAAATAGCGTAAAACTCATAAACGGCTGGCGGCAAGTGGCGAGCAGCAAACCAACATGCGATGCCATTTGAAAATTTCATTTCATTTCATTTCGTTTCTTTCAAAATATTTTCTATTTCCCGCATGCCAAACGGCCCCTAGGTACCGCTACCAATGGGGCCCCCCACTCGCCCTTCTTTAGAGACCCGATTTGCCGCCCCCTTAGCTGGTGCCCCCGAAGCAACGTTCTCTCCCCTCCCCCTATCTCTCTGCCCCCTTTTCCACACTCCCTGTATCTTTGAGTAGTTGTTCATTTGGTTTGGTGTGTCTAGCGCCGGCATTCATACTTAATTACCAAAAACGAAAAAGTCGAAGAATCGTCGCAGTTGTCGTTGTTGTTAGTATATTAGTTTTTGTTGTGTTTGTTGGAATCTTCTCTGGCGTGACGCTAAATGAGCAGCGCCAAAAAAAAAATCTTCTTCTGACCAGGTAGCAAACACCAGGCCCACAGATGATGAATTGTGGGTGCCGTTGAGTAAGTTTGTCTCTGCAACGTAGGCGTTGACCTAAATAATATTGTTGCTGTTGTAGCTGTCGCTATTGCTGTTGCTGTTGCTGCTGCTGCTGCTGCTGTTGTTAAATTGTTTTCCGCTTGTGCAATCGCTTGCTAAACATTCTGCTGCCGACAAGTGCAACCAGAGTAGTGAAAATTAAGCTGCTTTTCAGCTTTCCGCTTGGTAAATCGAAACTCACAGTCAAGGTTTAAAGCAACTGCAATCTACGTTTGCATAATGTATGCTAGATATCGAGTTTTATATGTATTCTTTTGCTAGCTGCTTGGCGCTGTGACAAAAAAATAAACAGAATAAAAATATAAAACCGCAAAGTGATTTTCAATGTTGCATGAGGCATTATTCGTATTATATAAATATATTGTAAATAGATAGAAGAAGGTTGCACTGATTGAAGGTGTTGCTGTCGTCACAGCTGTTGTTGTTGTTGCTTCGATTGCTGCTGCTGTTGCTGCTGTTGATGTGGCCTGGGTCTACGCTTGGCGGCATTTCGAGCACTGCCAGTTTGTCTCCGCTTTTAACCAAAACAAACAACCAGCAGAAACAACAACAACAACAACAATCGATGCTTCTGCTGCGGCTGCTGCTGCTGGTAACGACGAGCACACAAAGGCAAATGATGTTTTATGAGCAGCTAATTTACTTAACACCTCAACAACAACAGCAGCCGCATAAATAAAGATAAAGAAAAAATTTCAACTATAATAGTCCACGCCAAAAAAAAAAACATAAATAAAAAAAAAAAAAAAAAAAAGAGAAACGAGTAGAATTAAACATTTATTTTTATTTATTTTTCACATGGCGATTTTTTCTCTTATATGTTTGGAGTCACAGTTGTTATGGCTGCTTTTTTGTTGTTTTCTTTTAGCTGGATCTGTGAGAAATAAAGCCATTGCGTGGGTGCAAATTAGACATTAAAATTGACCAGTCAATTCATGAAAATACCGAATCATTCAAGATCGGAGGCATTCTAATTGGTTTTAAGCAGAGCATACAGCTCGGCTTTGGATTATCGCGTCACACGGTACGTATGATTAACGGACTTGAACCGGTTCGACATGTGCGTGTTTCTGTCAGTTTGTCGAGCTCCTTGTGTTTATGGATCTTCATCATTTTTGGGTTTTTTTTCTTTCTGTGACATTGATTGGCTTGATTTTATGACTGTGTTTTGTTTGATTTATTTTATGAGCAGATGGTATTGATATGCAAATCTGAGGCGAAAAGTGAATGCTTCTGATTCAGGTGAGGAGCGTGGGAGGTTTTTAATTCATAGATGGTGTAAATCATAGATTAGTATGCAATTGTGACATGGATAGCATTTGGATTAGTTTTAATTAGGAATTTACTCATTTTAAACGCTATTGCAAATCAGCAGCAGTTTGGCAAAAACAAAAAAAAACACACATACACAATAAAAAAGCAGATGCAAATTCATTTCGCTGCGTTTGCAAAACAAAGCGAGTCCAACAAAAGCCCAAAGCAAAATAAATCAATCTCATCGCAAAAAGTAAATATCCTGTGTGTGCCTCAACTTCCCATCCCCATCCCTCATCTTGCCCAGTGTTCCATTCATTATTGCTGAAGCTGAAGGAACAATTGCAAATGTGGGGGCAGCAAAAAAGTAAATAAACACAAGTTGAGAGCGCAAGACAGAGGGGGAGAGGAGGCAGTTGAGTTTGGAAGTGAAGCAGGGAGAACAGCTGATTGCAGCTGATTTCTGATTTCAAACAAAAAAGGGCTGCCACCGCTTTAGCCCCTCCCCTCCCCTCTCCTTCTCTTCTATATGTGTGTGTGCGCCAGCCATGACGGAAGCCAAAGAAGACGCAGCAGAAGCAGCAGCAGCAGCAGCAGAAAAAAATGAATTAAAAATCTAATTGCGACCGCGTAGAAACAAAGCAAAGACGGGCAAAAGACAATAAAAAAACCAAAAAAAAAACACTGAAACGCGACAAGCGAAGGCGGCAGATTCACATACACATACATATATGCATATATATCGTTAAAGTCGGGATCTTGTTGGGCGCACTTAGTCGCGTTACAGACGCAAACGCAAACGCAAACGTCATGAACCGCAACGCAACAATAATTACAACAATAGCAACAGAAACAACAACAACTACTTAGGGCTGGGTATGCCAACCGCAAAGGTCGACTGCAGATGCCAACGACGATGAAGAAGACGTCGACGACGACGGCGACGACGACGGCGAAGGCCAGTAGAAATGAGTTTTTCAAAGTTTTTCCAACTTGGGGAGCAGCACAAAATTAATGCGAATTTAATTAAAATGTGCAACTAGCAACAGCAACAGCAACAATCAATTCTAGAGCTGAGCTTTTCTTGTTGTTGCCTAGCCGCCAAATTGTAGAAGCAGAAAAGAAGAGAGCCAGAAGAAACAGCAGCAACAGCAGCAACAGCAGCAGCAGCAACAATCGCCTGGATACGGACTGCTTTGGAAAATTGCAATCGTCGGCGCATGTGCGACGGCTCCAACACTGTGTATGTGTTGTCTGTGTGTGTGAGAGAGTACAAGTCTGTGTGTGTGTGAGTGTTGCATAAAATTATTTCGGTCTAGTGGATATTAGCAGAGCGTGAAGTTGGCAAATAAGAAATTCAGCATAAGAAATAAGGTAAATTTTCATTAAACAGCAACAAAAAAGCACAAAAATAAAAAAATAAAGAAAAAATTTGTAAAAAGAGGCGGCTACCACGCAGAAACAGCGCTGGGCAGCGGAAAGCGAGTGCAGCGCATAGAGATTAAAATGCATCGATAAGATAGTTGGCCAATTCTCATAAAAGTGTCTTTTTATAGGTGGCACCGAAAGGGGATTTCTGGTCTGGAAATCGCGATCTAATCTTATAAATATGTCAACGATTTTAATTAAATAAGATAGATCATATGATATATAATCAAAATTGCTAATCTTCACCAAAGCTCTTTAAGCATCATAATTTTCAATTATATAAGACTACTTAACAAATCGAATATTAGCCTATTCTCAAAAATATGTTAAATAGTGATCATATAAATCAAAGACTTTTATAATATAGAAAAGGTTGTAACTCACCATAAGTTTCATTCACAGCCTTTTGGACCGATTTGAGCACCCGAGCCGTGACGCGTTTTGGCTGTCCGAGAATGGAGAAGTTGCCGGGATTCGTTTGCTGGACGAACATCATGTAGCTGATGTCCGAGGACTGCTCCAGTTTGTTGCGTCGCACCAGGCCACGCGGCAACAATTGCTCCTGATAGATGTCGCATTCGCCGCTGCTGTTGCTCAGCGCGAACTGCAGCCGGACGAGCTGTGGCAGTTGCAGGTCCCTTTGCTGCTTGTACACATACAGCACCTTCATCGTCGCCGAGAAGTTCGCCCGCCGATCCGCCGTCATTGAGGTGAAGACACCACGGAAGACGGTGGGCGCCGCATACGCCAACTGGGCGGGATCGTGGGCAGAACAATACGGCTGTTTGTATCTCCGATGTTTGCCGGGATGTTTTCGACGCTGTTGCTGCTGCTGCTGCGATGAGTGTTGTCGTTGTTGCTGGCGCTGGCTGCGTTCCTCGCGCCTCTCCTGCTGCTGCTGCTTGCGATAGCCGCCAGCGTTGCTGCGATGTTGCCGCTGGCTATTGTTGTTGTTGTTGTTATTGCCAAAGTCGCGACGATTCCGAGCCGTCGGATCCGTCGGGATGCTCTCTGGCACTTCATAGGACTCAATGAGATAGCGCTGCGTTATTGCTGTTGCTGCTCGCGCTGTGTTGCTGCTGTTGTTGTAGGCGGCAGCTGTTGCAGGTTGCTGCTGCTGCCGCGCCGAGCTGCTGAGTTGTTGTTGCTGCTGCTGTTGTTGCGCATGTCGTCGCGTTTTACTGCTCGTTGAAACGCTGGGCATGCCATTATATAATAATTTATATATTTGACTATTTATTAGCGTATTTGGAACTTGTTGCTGTTGTGACTGTTGCGTTGTCACCGCAGCAATATGCTGCTGTTGCTGCTGTTGTTGCTGTACAGCCGCATCGAATACTGTTGCTGGCCTTAACTTAATGTTGCTAGTGCTACTAAGACTATTGCTGGGCCGATTAAACAGCCTACTTAAGATATTGTTGTCGATGTTGCTGCGGCTGCTAATGCCGACGCTTTCACTGCTCCCTCTGCCATTGTCCGCCAGCTGCTGCTGCTGCTGTTGCTGCTGTGGTAGTGCAATATAGTAGCTACTTTCTTCTGATTCCCATAATCTTTGCTGCTGCAACTGCTGCTGCCGCTGTGTGGTTGTTGTTGTTGCTGCTGCTGTTGTCGTCGGCGCACATGTGATCAATAGCAACATGTTGCTGACGTAGATTGCTAGCGATATCAATGGCATTAGTTGCGGTTGCGTTTTTAGACTCCATTTGCGCACATGTTGCGCATACATGGCGTCCTCCAAAGTTGTTTGTTTGCTGTTGCCCTAGCTTTATTTACAAATCAACAATCGATTGCTGTCGCTATCGCTTATCGGTTGCTGCTTGCTCGTTGCTGCTGCTGCTGCTGCTAGTTGCTAGTTGTTGCTGCTGCTGCTTGTGGCTCTTGCTCTTGCTCTTGTTTCAGCTCTTCTTCTTGCTGTTGTCTCGTTTCTAATCGTGGCAAATGTTGCCGCCGCTGCGTCGTCGCTGTGCTTTATCGTATTTTCGTTTATCCTGCAAATACTTTCGATAGTTTCGTAGCATTTTGAGCGACAGCAAAGAGGAAGACGCAACACGAGAAAAACACAGAGACAGAGGCAGAGACAGAGACAGAGAGAGAGAGAGCGATAGAGAGAGAGAGGGAGAGAGCGCGCGCGCGAAAGAGAGAGTGAGTGAGTGAGATAGGGGGAGAGATAGTCAATGTTTGACAATTTCTAGCATAATATTTTTATGAGCACTTTGAGAAATTTGCCGACTGTTGCTGCTGTTGTTTGTGTTGTTGTTGTTGTTGCTGTTGCTGTTTCTGATTCTGTGGCTGCTGCTGTTGCTGTTGCTGATGACTCATTTTGGCCCGATCGTCTGCTTTGGCAATGCAAAAACGTATACGCGTTTATCTTTAAATAAATAAATTTACTGCTTGTATCTTTGTTATTGTTATTGTTGCTGTTGCTGTTGCTGTTCGTTCGTTCGTTTCGTTTGGTTTCGTTTTGTTGTTTTTTGCTGTTGTTGTTGCACTTATTTATGCTGAATTTGTTGTTTAGAATTATTTTGATTTCATTTAAATCGCATTCGAAATCGCGTTCGAAATCGCGTTCGCATTCGCGTCTCACTTGAGCGCCTTGGAAGTCGACGCACTGTGCTCGCTGGCCACGCCCCCCTCAACTCTTTAAAAGACGTAGACTTAAGGTCGTCGCGTGGCGTTTAGCTTAAAGTTTTTCTTGTTTTTTTTTTTGTGTTTTTTATTTATTATATATTCGCTGCTGCTGCTGCTGATGTTGCTGCTGTTGCGCGTTTTCACGACGTTTTTCACGCGCGCGCGTTTCGTGCGCGACACGTTCGGCTCTTCGTTCGGCGGCCGTCGGCTGTTGCCGATTGGCTGCTTCGTTGCGCTCGTGCGAATGCGATGCGAAGCGACGCAACGTTCGTGTGTCGCTGCTGCCGCTGCTGTTGCTGTTGCTGCCTGTAATCCTCGCTGCGCGCGCGTATCTTTGCGATACAATAATGTTTTTGTTGTTATTTTATTTCGATAATGTTAATGTTTGTCTCGCCGTATACGCGATCTGTCTATATAGACGTAACCCGTAGTCGGAGTCGTACTCGTAGCCGTAGTCGCTTGCCTGATTCACTGCCTCGAGTGTTTTCTGGCACACAAACACACACAAGTTGAGGCGCTGTGTGTCTCTCTGATGACGATGATGATGATGTTGATATAGCAGACACAGGCACACACACACACGCGCGCACATATATACACACACACACAGTCGCACACACACACACCCGACGAGCACAACACACACGTTTTCTAATTTTAGACAAAAGTAATTATAAAAGAAAAAAAAAGCAGAGCAGAGTGCGCCGCGTTCAGCTCATACGCATATATCTTCTACTCTGCCTAGATATATATATATATATATATATCTGATATATAACGGTGTCTGTCTAAATGTCTATATGTGTGTGTGTGTGTGTGTAGAGGATCGTCGCTGCAAGTATGTATGTATTGTATATATTGCACACGCACACACTAAATCGATTTCGATCGTTTTTATTTCTTTTATTTTTTATATGCATATACTATATATAATAAGTATATATATGTATACTTATATATACAAATGTATCAGGCGCAGACAGACGATGTCAGTTGTTTGCTGGACGGAGCTGAAGACGATATTGCCTTTTAATTGCAGTTGCAATTGTTGTTGTTGCTGCTAATGTTGTTGTGGTGCGTTTTTTTTTTTGCAAACGTTGACTTTTTGTCACTTATCAATCGATCAATATGAAACTGAAATTGAACTGGAAAACGAAAGTCCTTTCACGATAATCGTCTTTTCTGTTATCTTTTCACTTGTACTCGCAAATCGAAATGTCGATCGAAATTTGGCGTATATAATTGTATCATTCATAAAGTGACTCAATTTTGTGTTGTGTCCCGTTTTTTTTTTGTATAATTTAATTTTCGTAATTTTCTTTTATTTCACGCACCGAAACGAAACCAAATCAAATTCAATTTGAAATTCACATTTGTATTTAGACGCGCAGCCTCAATGTCTCGGTTTGCAGTTGTCTCGACTCAATATTTTTATCAATGCTCCTCGGTTTCGGTCTCTGAAATGTATCTTTCGCCGTATTTTCTTTATTTCTGTTTTTTTTTTTAAATTTTTTTGGTTGCGGTTTGCCGACACGCGCGTATCTGATCCGTTGCCGTTGAGTGTTTGCCGCGGACTAACACTGGCACGTAACTCGACACGTAAACGCTTACGTTGCGTTGCAAGTCGAACCGCCAACGCAGCGTAACCAGGCAGCGAACCGAACATTTCTGATCGTTAACAGTAACTGTTGCTTCGATTTTTTGACGTACAGGATTAAACAATACAATTTTATTGAATTCTATTGATTACTTTGAAGTAATTTCAGGCACTTATAAGGCAAATAATTGTAATATTAATTCAAAATTAATGAGAAATTTAAATGACAATTAACATAGACTGTTAATACTGTATGTTGTGCTCGAAATGGATATGTTAAGCTCAAAATGGCACTGCTAAGTGGTTAAACTGAACTGTTATTGGCTCGAGTTCGATGTCTGAGCTTGATGTTGCATGCTGCGCATGGCTGAGTTGTTGCGCCTCATACGTAATTAAGACCATTCAATGTTTGTGTGCACTTTAAGAATTTGAATGAAAGTGCGCGAAATTGTGCGTTTGAATTAAATCATTTTGTTTGCGTTTTACTATATATGTTTTTAATGAAGTTCTTCATTAATTATAAAATGTAAACTTAGCTATTACTTCATTGCAATACAAACTATATAGTTGTTATTAATTTTTATTTATTATTATGCTTATATTTGGTAGTGATGACCAATTGGAAAACCGACGCAGAAATTTGATTTTATTATATATTTGTGCATATGTTAAAGTTGTATTAATCGAACCAATTACGTAGCGATTGAAAACGTTATTTGTTTTGGATTATTAATGTTAAAACTTAATTATAGAGGGTTTTTTGCCTTACTATAAATTTAATGCCCAGCAGTCCAGCTATTCACAAAAGTGTTCATAATCAAAAAATTCAAATGAACATACTTGGTTAGGAGATATTAGCAGCAAGCAGTAGTGTTTCCATGAATAAGAATGTATAATTTATTATACATATGTATATCTTAATTAAACTCATTAATTCACTTTGATGTCTTCAACACTTGTGCAATTGCAAATGACTTATATTTCCACATATTTTCTGTATTTATGCGATTTGAGCCGGTGCCTGGACATGTGATTGGAGGTGCGTTGCTTTTTTGCTTTACCACAATACCTGACCTGTGTACTGATAAAAAGCGATTAGATTAAAATGGCGAATGATAGAGGAAATTCAGAATTCTCTATATATTACTCATTTGCTGTAGCTAAATTGGTTTGCCGGTAGTCAACGAAAATGAAAACATTTAACTCACACAATTGTCTGTACTTATATATATATATATATATATTCAGAGAGTCAGAGTGAGTTGGTATCCCAGCTTTTTCCCATGATTATTTGCTTTATTGTCAAATGTCAAGCCCACAAAACAGGCGAAGAAGAAACAGAAGAGGTAGTAGCAATGGACGAGGGGGGAATCGGGTGAAGGAGACCGTCAGGTGAAGCTGTCGGCGGTTGGAAGTCGTGTAAACTTAACGTTTTTTTTTGTTTTTTTTTACCAGTTGCTGCTAATGCTGTTATTGTTATTGTAATTGTTGTTGCTGTTGTTGTCAAACAAAGCTTCCACTTGTTCTACGCAGCGCGCATAACAATAAAAGAGGAGAAGCGGTGAAGAGGAGCGGAAAGGAGAGGAGTGTGGTAGGCAAGCAGGGAAATAAAGAGCGAAGCACAAAAAGATGTCGTCGCCCCAACGCTTCTGCTGCTGCTGCTGCTGCTGCTGCTGCTGCTGCTGCTGCTGCTGCTGTTGACAAGTGCGGCAATTGTAAGAAAACCTGAACCTTAACTTTGGAGGGGACCGGCCTTTGCACTACTGGGATGGCTGCAAGTCGGCCAAGAGGCGTTCTAACCTGGCCAAGGTTATAGGTGTGCGTGCAATTGGCAAGAGAAACCCAAAATTGTAACTTATCTCCAAACGTCATAATCAAAAGCTTATCACACGCATTCGTCATAGTACACATTTGTCGAACATTATGAATGAATTTAACAATTTGATTAACTGAACACTGACAAGCACATAAATGTGCGTATTATCTTATCGGTCATTTGAACGTTTTGACGTTGCGGAACCGGATGTCTTGTTGCTTTGGGGAAATGGTAGTAAATGTGGAAACTGTGATTGCAACTGTGACTGTGGCTGGCAGCAGATTAGGCAGCACCTGTCGTCGGCAAGCGCAGTTCAAACAGGTAGCATCGGAGTGAGAATAAATGTTTGAAAAACTGCCAACTGGCAACTGGTAACTAAATGCTGCTGTGGGGCAGCAACAATCGGACAGCATTGTTTGCCACTGGGACTGGGAATGAACTGCTCTGCATCCGAGTTGCGGAAGTGCAGGAAATACTCAAACTTGTGGACCTCATAAACAAGCTGCTCAATCCCGGCACAGACAGACATAGAGACATGGCCATGGAGATGGAGACGATCAAAAGGGATGGTGTCGGGAACGGGAACGGGAACTGGAACGGGAACGGGAAGAGAACCTGGCACACAGCAGACGGCCGGAGACGACAGCTGCCAAGCGCAGCGTCATTGCATCATCAACAAATACACACATTCTCACACACACCAAGAAATTAGAACAACAATAACAACAGTAAAACGCACCGCTGACAAAAAAAAACCCACAACAATAACAAACATACAAAAACAAATTTTCCAAAAGCAATTTTGAAATGCGCGCAGGCGCAAA